TACAGGCGTGTAACCAGCTTAGCCTTTTTACTTAAAGGAAGCATTTGGTGTGACTTCTCTTTGGCATCACTACTATCACAGCACAAAGTGCCAGCATCACTCTTCTGCACTTTGAGGCCATTATTCAGTGACATAAGGTTTGCTTGAACACAAGCACTATAACGTTGTGACAGTCAGTCTGATAAACCAAGATACAGCAGTCCCTAAATGGCCACGGGCAGGTAGCTTATACAATGTGCTAGTCAGCTTTTGGATACTGTGACAAAATACTTGCGATAAGCAATTTAAAAAGAAAGAAGATCTAGTTTGGCTCACAGCTTCAGAGATTTAAGTTGCTCAACATTTGGTCGCATGGCCTTCGCCATAGTGAGACGGTGTGTCATGGAAGAAGTACATGGTGGAGGAAAACTCTTCCCTTAACGGCATCCAGGAAGCAAAGAGAGAAGAGAAAGTGCTGGGGTCCCTTTGAGGTCCCACTCCAGTGACCTTCCTCCAATTAGCACCCCAATCTGAAGGTTCAAACACATTCAGTAGTGCCAGCAACTGGGGACCGCACCCTCAACTCTTGAGCTTTGGAAGACATTTAAGACCCATGCCATGACACACAATGTAGATTAGCTGGGCAGAGGGTGATTCCAAGTGGAATAACTTATGACTTTTTCAAACTACAAAGAACAGTGGATAACCCAAAGCATATTTTTGTAAGCTACTTGGTAGGACTTGGATTGTACATGATCCACAAATTCTCGTGCAACATAAAAGTTTGGCTACCAAAAAAATATATATATATTTTGGGACCAAAGTTAATGAAAACAAAATTACAGCTAAGGAAAAGATTACAGTACTGAAACCAACTATGCACACAACATGCACACAATTATTAATGTGGTCACAGGGACTAGAGTACAAAAAGGACTCCCAGATGAACTCTGACCCAAGACTCTGAGTCTTGGGGTGTCAACTGGAACGGAGTAAGAATGCCTAGCAGATGAGGGGAGCACGGTTTAGGCTTGCACGGCTGGCTCTAATGGAGCTTCCTGGCCCATCACTTCAGACTGGTTCTGAGATGCTGCTGGATCTTCTGGTTCTGGAGTGCACAGAGAGCTACTGTGGTGCGGGCTCTTCCACCTCCGACACTGGGAGCCTCCCTGGGGACTCCTCTTGTGGCGGTACTGATAGTCTCCATTGACATTCTCTCTCTCTCTCTCTCTCTCTCTCTCTCTCTCTCTCTCTCTCATCTCACCTCACCTCACCTCACCTCATCTCATCTCATCTCATCTCGCTCTGTTTTGTCCTGTTTTGTTCCTGACACAGCCTCCAGTCTCAGCCTCCGAAGTGCTGAGATTACAGGCACTTTGGTGTGACTTTTCTTTGGCATCACTACTATTATAACCTAAAGTGCCAGCTTCACTCTTTTGTACTTTGAGGCCATTATTAAGCACTATAACACTGTGACATGCCTGGCAGAATCTACTTCTCTACAAAACCCTAACTAGAGCATGAGCAAGTATATTTTAAGCCATTCAACTAAAATTACTAGAAATTGGGAGAGTTGAGGAGGGAAGAAAATTTGATTTCTCATTCTATATAATAAAATAAAACTAGAGTTATATATTTTCTTTTTCTTTTTTAAAAGTGTATTTGGGTCTTAAGACAGAATCTTGGGACAGGGAGATGGCTCAGTGGAATAAGTGCTTCCCTGACAAGCACAAGAGCCTGAGTTCAATCCTTGGTTCCTAAAAAAAAAAAACCAGAATCTCACTATGTAATCCAGGTTAGCCTTGAACTCACAATCCTGTTGCCTTGGCCTCCTGTTCACTGGGATTACAGGCCTACTGTGCTCAGCTTTATTTTAATAAAACAATAAGTATTCTCTTATAGTTGTCTATTATTGACTCACTAGCATTTGACATTGCTGCAGAGAAGCCCGGAACCACCTTTCCTAGAGTCGCCTTCCCCTCGCGGCTGTGGGCTGGCTTCTGTCCAGGAGAGACACTCTTTTTTTCTTTTCCACAGACATCTCTCTTTATTTCTGATCATTGCTTTACATTCATATACACATTCCTCTCCAGCCTGAATTGACATCTCACAACTCAATTTCCTATTTCTGATCTAGTATGGGACCCAGTTCCACAAAGATCACTTCTACTTTAGAGGCAGTGTTTCTCCAAGGCTTCCACCTGCTGACCACCTTGCCCTGTGCTCACTCGCACTGAAAGGTCTTGGTTTTGTTTCAACCCTGAGGAAACCTATGATATGTGAATTCTCCTACACTAGGACACAGGCAGGGCATGGTTTACAGTGTATTTTATATAATTCCCATTCACACATATCATTAGTAAAAATACAAAACCAGACTTTCCTGGGATGGTGTAGTGACTTCATGATCTCCCTAACTTTTTCCTGAATCTTGATTGATATGCTTGGGTGGGCATCATTTCTGATAACATAGACATCTTGAGGAAGAGAGTACATCTCCAGGGTTAACTTTCTCAGCCTGGCAGTGTGGCATAGCAGGTTCTTCATGGTGCACATGGACATGAAGTTTCTTATGAAGCAGAAGGTAATGAGCTGGGAGCAGCTGCTCAGGGAAGGCAAAAAGGCACAGACCTGTTCGTCAGTGATCCCACAGTTTTCCAAATTCAGGATGGTCAGAGTGGCTGAAACATTACTCAGTAAGTGTTGGAGAGGCTCAAGACTGAAGGAGGTCAGCCTGGTACAACTCAAATTTAAGTATTCTAGCTGTCTGATCTGCTCAGAGCAAGAAAGCAGGTTCCAGTCAGAGGGTGAAAGCAGGCAGTCAGTTACTGACAGGGCCTCCAACGGCGATGTCAGGCACCTGAGTACCTGGTCCAAGTGGTCTTCAATGAAGTTAACGTGGTCAATGAAAACTTCCCTCAGAAAATGAAGTTTAAGTAATTCTGAGGTGATTTCAGTGACCAACTTCTGTCTCTTCTCTGAGGACATGCTGGCAGGCAAATCGATGCCACAGAAAGTTAATTTACAAAGATTTTTCATCTGGCCCAAAAAGGGGGCAAACTGAGCAAATGCAAAGATTTTCCAGCCGAGATCCACATCCACTTCATGCACATGTTCTAGGTTCAGCATTTGCAGGATCCCTGTGATGTCAACATCTGTGACACTAATGTGCACACTTGGACAATCCAGCTGCACCAGACCCTCCTTCTCCTGGACCCATTGGAGAAGGAAGGACATCAATTGATCCACAGGTTCAAAATCAATCCACAAGTCTACAATGATTTTGAGGATCCTCTTGTTTGGTACCCTTGGGCCAGTCTTCTCTGTTCTGCTCCATTTTATGGTGTAGTCTTCCAACTTGTTCTCAGGCCAGACTCTCCAGAAGTACTGGTGCACAGCCCACATATCTAGCACTTGCAGTTTCAACTTCCTGGAGCACACCTTCTGTTTCAGTAGCACATCAAGTCCACGCAGCACAGCTTGCAACATCCTTTTCTGTGTCTACAGAATATCCTCATGAGTGTCCCAAACCCCTGGCCTGTCCATGCTCATCAGGGATCCCAGGGGCAGGGAGAGAAAGGGCCAGGACTGCACCATGGCCTTCACAACATCTGTGCGTCTCTTGGTGAAGGCCTTCATGAACACTGGTGGGAAGAGTTCCCTTGGTAAATATCCCAAGGCCTCAGTGACCAGGGCCTTGTCTCTTAGCAAGCTCTCAACTGCCAGTTCCAATAGTACACGTGGAGACTGAGTGTTCATGTTGGTCAGTGTGGAAGGCCAGGGGTCCAGGTGATGATTCAGATGACAATGGCTAGGCTCCAGGAATCCAGGAAGGACCAGCAGTTACTAGAAGCTCAAGAAACAAACCAGGAGAGACACTCTTGAGAGGTCTGCAAGAAAAAGTCATTGTTCTCCTGAGGCAGCTGCAACTAGAAAAGAGGACAGCCCAGGATTTTGCAGCAGCTTCCAGGGAGACCAGAGACTCGCCTCCTTCACATCTTCTGGCTCCGATGTCGGAGGAGGATGTGTTGACCTTCACACCCTGCTATTCAAAACGGGCACCGGTCTCCTAATCCTGTACTGAACCTTTCATTTATGGAATAATTGTAGTTGTTTTCCAGACTGATGCATTTGAATTTAAGAAGTCATTTATTATGTAGTCACCATTCATAGAATTGAAAATAGGAAGTTTACTTGCCAAACCATGGCAGAAATAAAAGCAAACAAAACACTATACATAAGCATAAGCAAAAATAGAAAGTAAACAGAAAACCTGAGCCAGAAAGCAAGACAGCAGAAATAGCAGCAGGCATAAAAATTATATCAACACATGTCAACACTTTTAAACCCTTTTAATAATTTTCAGAGATTCTCGTCTGGAGTAAAATCAACAAAAGTAATCCAGTGACTGCTTACCACAGGTGACTTAAAACGGTATCAGAAGGTTGTAAATATGGACTAAGCACCTGCTTTGGCAAATGCAGGAACCAGGGATCGATCCCCTGTCCTAGATGCTGCACCAGCCCCGTCCCTGGACGTGCTGAGTCGAGTCCAGGCATGATGGCGCACACCTATAATCCCAATGCTGGGAGGCTGAAACAGGAGGATCACTACAAGTCTGAGCTGTGTAGTGAGACCCTGTACCAAATACATAAATGAAAAAAAAAAAAGTTGTAAATAAAAGGGTGAAACAAGAAATGCAAACCAAGGAAGGATTTAAGGTAGTAAGAAGGAAATAAGGGAGACAGAATTTTTTTAAACTGTTGACACAACTAATTAGCACATTCATTCTCTTTATAAAATGCTCAAATTTTTGGTCTGCAAACTTAAGTTGTTAATCCTCCAGAAGAGAAGCTTAATGATATTATTACCCTATAACATAGGCAGTTGATGTTAACCTCACTGTCTCTCTGAATATCAAACATCTTAGACATAACATGGAGCAGGGATTTTCCATCAAGCATTGACATGTTAAACTCTAAATCCCTACAGAATGTGAAGAAAAAAAGAAACATTTAAAAAATAAAAAATATTTTTAAAAATAGGAACAATTACATATTTTTGCACCAAAATTTAGGAATCTAACTATATACAGCATTGTAGCAGGACAGTCCTATGACTTTTTTTTCTTGGCTCCTGTTTTCATTACCCCTTTTTTAAAAAAACAAATATTTACTCAAACAATATAGAATCAATGAGCAGTAAAGCAAGCACGGCAAACACATGGAGCCTTCTACCACCCATCAGTAGGCACAGCCTTCATGCACAAACTCCATAGGAAACCCAGAGAGACGAGAAGTATTGTGTAGTCCTCTGTCTCTTAGAAATAAGACATTCTTTTTTCTCAAAACTCCAACACTCTTGTGTCATGGACCAATCATTGTTTGAGGAAATGTGATTATCATGATTGCTTTAGATTATTCCTTTGGGGGTTACCTGATTCCAGGGGAGGGAGGGTCAAATAGAATGATTACCGCAATTATTTTGTCCAACTTTTAATGTCTGCTCACCTGAAATGTATTTGTAGGAGGAGTACAGGGTGAGGATTTAGTTTTCTATATTTAGGGAATATCAACTTAATTGAATAGCGACTAAGCCATTGTCTCGAAATCCCACCTCTAGTACACATGCAGGCGTACGCATGCACACATGTATTGTACACATGGGCACACACAGGTGAGGCTCTAAATACTCTTCTGGGGCTGGTGAGATAGCTCAGTGGTCTAAAGCGCCTGCTTAGGCAAGCTTCAGCAGGGGGAAGGGACCGTAGTTTGATCCCTGGCACCACATGCCACAACAGCTCAGGTAGGCTGAGCTGGCAAATAAATCAGTTAATTAATTAATTAATTATTTTTTAAAAAGATACTCTTCTGGTTGACTCTTTGCCTATTTGTGTACCAAAGGCATGGAGTCCGTTCTGTTTGATAGGTGGGAGGAGAGCCCACTCATACGGTGTCGGCTTTCTGCTGCTGGGACAAAATACCAAGGACGAACATCTTAGATGAGGAAAGATGGTTTCGGAGGTTTTAATTTGTGGTCTGCTGACTCCATCACTTTAGGCCCACAGCAAGACAGGGCCATCATGGTGGCTGGGCAAGGCAGAGCACAACTGCTTAAGTTATTGCTGCCAGAAGCACAGAGAGAAAGAGCCGGGGGCAAGATATGCTTGCCTTCCAAGCCTCACTCCCAGGACCACTGGGCCATCTCCTGACAGCCCACTCTGCTATGAACTCGTCCACAGGCGTCCCCACTGATGACAGGAGAGCCCTCGTGACGTTCTCTCCTCTCTGGCTCCACCTCTGAACCTTGCTGCACTGGGGATGAAACCTTCGATGCACAGGTTTCAGAGTACAGTTTATAATCAAACAATAGCACTCGTCATTTTTTAAATGTGTTTTCTAAGAAAATATTATTCTCACATCATTTCTCTGGGAAATTATGGAGTCTGCTTGCCAGCATAAAAGAATAATCCTTGGTAATTTCAAATATCTATGCCCTTGGGAGAGAATTATCGTCTCTGTGATATCCTCCTCCATGAACCAGGATTACTTGGGTCATTTTTCATATTTCCCCGAAAGCGTCCTCATTTTCTTCATAGCAGGCCTGTTCATGCACATCGCAAAACATAAGAAACAAAATGGCTTAAACAACAGAAATTTATTTTCCCACAGTTCTGGACACTGGGAAGTCCAAGACCAGGGTGCTGACAAATCTGACCTTAGTTGACAGCCAACTTCCCAGGTCACAAACACAAGTTTTTTCATTGTACCCTTACCCAGGAGAACTAGTAAAAATGCTCACTGGGGATCCTTTTATAAGAGCACTAACCCCATTCCTAAGAATTCCGCCTCCTAAAGCCCTCACTTCCTGATCTCATCATATAGGGAATAAGTCTTAGCATAAGAATGTTGGGGCAATGCATATTCAGTCAATAGCATCCCCTAGAGACCTTATCTCCAACCAAAGTCCCATTGGGGCTAGAGCTTCTGGAACATTAGGTTTCTTATTGGCATTTATAGTGGTAGAAGAGGCCACAGTCAGGGGAATGACTTTGGGGATGATACAGGGTCTATGGGAGCTTTGAGGAAGAACACAGCCTGTCTCTCTGCTGAGACCCTGCTGAGTCCAGTTTATCAATAAGGGTTTCTTTTTTGCAGTTCCAGGGATTGAACTCAGGACCCTGAGCTTGCCAGGCAAGTGCTTATTCTACTGAACTATCTCCCCAGGCCAATAAGGGTTTCTTTTTTTTCAGGAACCAGGGATTGAACTCAGGCCCTTGCGCTTGCCAGGGAAGTGTTTATTCCACTGAGCTATCTCCCTGGCCCAATAAGGGTTTCTTTACAGACTTAATCTCTGAAAGGGGCACACTGACATGCATCTCTACCAGCCAAGCTCTTGCCTTGCCATACCCTTGCTGTGAGAGTTAAGCTAAATGATCAACCTGATCGGCTCGAAGGCCTCCTGGGGAATTAGAGTGCACCTCTGGGTGAGTCAGAGTGGGCCATGGAGATGTGGCCATGGGGTCCACCCCTGGCCTCTCGTCCTTTCCTTTCTGGCACTGTTGCTTGACTTTGCTCCCCAGAAGTCATAAACTGAGCAGTTTTGTTCTGCCACACCTTCCTGCCATGATGTTCTTGCCCTGGCGCTAAATGACCATGGACTGAATCCTCTGAAATTATGAGCCAAAGAAGCCATTTCTTCCCGTAAGCAGTGGGTGTTGGGTATTTGGCCCCAGCAATGGCAGAGGCAACTGATACTCTTGTCACTCCTTTCAATTCCAAAATCTTTGCCACCCGCAGTAGCAAAACCCTATAACTTACTTATAATTAATCAGTGAGGTGAGCATTTTTGTACATGGATATTTCCTTTAATTCTCCTTTCTAGTGTTTTTTATTTAGCTTTTCCATTTCTCTGCTGAGTGGCTGCCTTTTCCTTATTAACTTGTAAACCTTGTTTATATATTTGAGGTAAATATTTTTATAAGTTATGTAGTATGTGCAAATATTTCTCCCACACTATCACTTATCTTTTCATATTCTAAAAATATTATCTTTTGATGTGCCAAAGTTTTACATTTTAATGTAGTTTTATTTATAGCTCTTTGCTTCATGGTATGTCATGTCAAGTAATTCTTTCCTACCCTAAGGACATAAAGATATTATCATATATTTTCTTTGAATAAGCTTAAAGGATTGTGTTTTACATTTTCCATTTAGGTCTTTAATCCTTCTAAAAATTACTTTGGCTAAAAGGTGAAGCAGAGATTTAACTACATTGCTTCCATTTAAAATTGCAATAGTCCCAACACCTTTCATTGACTATCCCATCCCTTTTGTACTCGTCTGTCATACTGCTTCTGCTACACATTACTTCCCTCTTTGTGTTTTAGTTTCCATTTTTCTACTTTGCTTCTCCAATCTATTGGCTTCACTTAACATTGAAAGGCAACTTTCCCCATGAAATGAAGGGGTGGGGGCGTGGGGGGTGTGGTGGGGTGTTTGGTGGAGCTAGGGATAGATCCTAAGGTATAGTTTGGGGTCTAAAAGACTTAGCTATTTAAAAGAAGTCACATTTGGAGATATATGCTAGGGGTCACATAGGCCAAGTTTCAAAATGTTAGTAGCTTTAAAATTTCAAGAGTCCTATTACAATTGGAAAAAAAACAACTTTTGCAAGCAATTTCTCAGACACAGAACTAATATTATATCTAGAATACAGAGAACCCTCAAAAAAAATTAGACCCCTCCAAATAAAAGGTC